GCGCAGTAGGAATTCTTATGTGCGGCAGGTTCTCAACAAGCAGGGGGGATGTCCATTTGTAGAAAGAGTCTATGTACATGTACATACATGTATACCCATACTTGTAGGCAACCCTGTCGGACAGCACGCAAGACAGGTTATAACTTATCTCATCTATTTATTCAATAAATGACATAAGGAGGTACATGTGCCTCCAAAACTGTGACCTCATTTACATTACCTCAGGAGGTGATAGGACCTCCGCTAATGACCCAAATACCGGGTAACTAATCCACAATTTGTCAGTTTATTTCCTCCTTAAAACCAACCAAAAACAACGGAACCACAGATTACCATGTGTGAACTAAATCCAAGCTGGATTTGCCTTAATTTAATAGCTCGGAGAAGTGTCAAGGTGAAAATAACACTAATTCTTGCTCAGTGCACCGTAAACCGCAATAACAGAAAGGCAAGTAACTAGTCCAAAATTCATCTTGCAACTTTGAATGATGCGCTCTAATTTGGGCTTCAGAAATAGCTCCACTGGGTGCTCAAAACATCATAGAATTGCTAATATGCCTGATTGTGTGCTGCACAGAGAAAACAGCCCAACGTGCAAAGGCGCGTGTGTTAGTACCTGCTAGGCATGCTCACAATCACCAAGTATTAAAGTTAATGCATCTACTCCACTTCCCTCAAGAATATGCACAAACTGACACTAAAGCCCCTTGCATATTACATGGACATGTACTTGAAATGAAGTTTAGTCTCAATTGCAAGAAATTAAGGTCAATCTCATCATTTTGATACAAGAAATGAGTTTGCAAGTTCATCAGGAATTTCCCTTTAGTGTTTGTTCGCCTTTGAAAATGCAGGCTTATATCCAAGAGACAGAAGCCCTGTTATTCTGATTTTGTTACCTTTTTTCATTCATTTCTTAGATTTAGTATGATGCAGCATTGCAGTGTAGGCATTGCCAAAAATTGCTGTTGGCTTACAAGCAGTAACAACAGTGGCTGTGGTGGAGGGTAGTGCAGTACATATGCTCAAGTTGGTGAAATTATTGAATTTCGAATCCAGTGTTCTTCAGCAATTTCTCATGGCTCCTGGAAATATATGTGGTGAGTAATTGTCTTAGATTGTTTTTGATAAAAAGCTAGCTAAATTTTGACGGTTTGACAAATTGTATGAGGAGTCCTCTACACAATGCCCAGTATCTCTTTTGAGATGAGACTCTAATGTTGGTCATTTCTTCTTGTCAAGTTGCTTGATATTTACTGTTAGAATATATCTTGCCATAGTTACTGCACACTGGCACTTTATACTACTGACCCCTGTAATAATTGGGTCATTTACTTAAGTGTAAAAAGAATATCTGAAAAAAGGACAATGAGAAAAATGGTAAATAAAAAGGGGATAACTGTCAGAAAAAATGTCCATGTTTTGGAGAAATATCTTAGTAACTTTCCACTTCGTTCAATTCCAGGTAAGACCATCAGTTATACCAGGCACGAAATGGGACAGAGGGGTACCCCTCCTACAAGTCCAATCCCTATAGACACTCCAGCCTATTGTCACTTAACACATTCCCCCCCCCATGTCTGAAAAGAATTCCTGAGATACCAGTGTATCAATGACCAACACAAAGGCGGAGGAGGGGGTGTTCTCTCTGTCCCAAAGTTTGCTTCATATGCCATCGGTAACTACGAGTATCAGAGAAAGCATTTTCAGAATGCTGAACCATCACCAATCATGATGTGCCTGTCAACATTCTTAACTATGCCTTGTTTGTCCTATGCAACCTGTGTTGGTACAAGCAACTTCCTTAGGAAGTAACCGTGGAATTTCTGCCACTGATCCTCGGTGTCTTCCACATAAAGATGCAACTGTAAGTACATGTATGTGGGTAATTTGTGTAAATCCAGCCAAACTACATGTAGACAGACATCATGATAGGCTTACAGGGATACAATGTGGGTTTTATCATAAATGTTTCTGGAACTGTGGAAGTCCGTAGTAACTTCAACATTTTCCCTACATAATTTTCACATTCATGAAAATGTCAAAATGATCCATCTTTGATATTTTGAGAATGTCAAATTGATTCATCTTTTGATATCATGAGAATGTCAAAATGATTTGATCAAAGGAGCAGTAACAGCCCTTGTTAGAAGTTTTGCACGGAACAACTTGAAGTAACCCAGTTTTTTGTACTGGTACATTGAAATGTAAACTGTGCATGTACATGCAGATTGACCACTGGTCAGTTACTTCCTTCCAGTGCAAACAGAGTACCATCCTAATGACCCCAGTTGAACCATTAATGTGCAATCCCATTGGAATGAGATTGAAAGGAATCAATGTTTGTTTCACATGGATCTGGATCGTGGTCAGCGATCCCAGAGCTGGTTCACCCTATCCGTTAGGTGGGTTCTGGTGTCGGTGAACCAACGACAGATCACTGATCACGATCCGGATCCGCCTGAAACAAACAGGCCATAACATTCCTCAGTTCCTTTTTCAAGGAATCATATCTGAGTAGCCGACCTGTATTGCCTTCGGAGGACCTGATTGCCCTTATCTGGGTCTTGTGTTACTTTTTAAGGTACATGGACTTGTTTTATGTGGCAGTCATATCAGATGTCTTTAGTTGTTTCCATTAATTTAAATGTTACTACAATGCATTTGATTTGAATACATTATGCTGATAACACCGTGCTTGTGACTGTAGAAACCGAGAAATTACTTGCAAGTGTTGATGCTGTGTTAAAATTTCGTGAAATCCACAAGGCTGATGTATTTATAATCAACTTGTATACTACTGAAACATTGCAATGTGAATTCCAAACCAGGCCCTGATTTCCTCACGGGTTGTGTCCTGGGGAATGCCCGCCAGCTTCAGGTTTATACTTGTCATGTCAGCAATGAGGGAGAAAAGAGCCAACAAAAAGAACTGCAGGAAGTAGTCGATGGCCCTCATCCCAGCTCTTTGGGCAAATGTTGGTCCAAGTGGTGTAGGTTCAGCAAAGGCATGTGTGTACACCCGTCTTAGTTTGCTCAACCATTGGTAGACATCTTCATCCAAGGGAGCATCGGGTGGTGCCTCTTTGGGGTCATTGTCTGGAGCAGGCTTGGCATGTCTTCTTTTTTTTTGGCCTTTACCCCGATGACCCTGCCCGTCTGCCATCTTGCCATTCTCGTCTTCCAGTCCAAACTCTTCTGGGTCCAGCTCGTCATCTGACTCCTCTTCACTCCAGTATCCTTCAATGAAGAAACCACTGCCACTGGAGGATTTGTCTTCAAATGGGGGCCTGGATCTTCTTTCTCATCTGAGCTCGACTCGGCCAGGGCTCTATATTTAGATTGTTGCAAAGATCTCATCAGTGCGGCTCTATGTTGAACTTGGGTTTCATGTGGCATGGACTTGGAAGACCCAGGTCTTTCTTTTTCCAAAGCTGTGGCTCTTTGTACACTCTCTTTCTTGCTCTTTTTCGACTTTTTTTTCCCCCTGACTCCTCTCTCAACCCTTCCTCAAATTCGTCACACTCCTCACTTGTCTTAACTCTCTTTTTCTCCTTCATGGATTTCTTCTTTTTCTTTGCAGGCTCTTGGCTTGTTTCCGTATTGGTCTCGTGGCACGGACTCATCTGCCTTTTCTTTTTGTCTTTTCTTGACTTCTTTTTTGATGTCTTACTCTCACCCATATTGCTGTCTTCTGAAGGCAAACTCCAGCGTAGGTTGCTTTGTCTCAGGGCAGTTCTAAAAGTTGCCCCTCAGACACAGACAAGCTTTCCTGCAATGATTTCACCTCGCGGGCTGTCATATTGTTGGCTGGGTGTGAACCAAACTACTGGCTGATGTGGTGTGCAATGATGCGAAAGTTTTCACTCCTTATATACACTTCAATAATGACAATTTACATACATGTACATGGTTGAATGATATTATTGAATAGTTCATTTGAAATTACATTGATATCAACCACAAATGACCAAAGTTTTCTCCAATCATAGGAGCCTTTTCCACTTGAGCACATGCTACATATTTAAATATCATGTGATTGAAAACTCAGCATCTCATTGGGTCATTTTTCCGCTTTATGTAAATAACACATTGAGGGAGTTTGAATGTCATGTAACATCATAGAAATGATTATTTTACCTGTAACATCACACTTTGATTTTACCTCAAAGAAATGCAGTGGTCCAATCCTTTTCTGTGTCTGTTATCAAAAATAACTAAAACCAAGTGGTACATAGTCTGGGAAATTTCAAAAGGTGTCATGACCTTATCCACCAAACAGACCCTCCCAAGTCAATGCTACCATTGTTTATCAACCTCATACGCTATCATCTTACCTACCCCAGCAGAATCTAAAAGGGCACTCAATACTAAACAATACTAAGGTGTTGATTGACTTTGGGTACGCAGTACTAAAAAATACTTTGTACCCTTAGTAATTTGTAGTGTCCAGTAACTTGACACTTCAGACTTAAGTAGTAAATTGTAGACCCCGGCACCTTGCAACTGTAATACTTCATAATTTTATCAAAGGCAGAAGAACTCCATACTACAGAATACTAAGTAGTCAAATTTAGTATATGGTACTCAACACAATATAGCGTCCAGTACTGTTAGGGTTAATCCTTGATGGCCGCTGGAAAAGAAGTTGTGGATACCGCCTCTTCAGTTTTTTCCCTCAGGACTGTTGTTGATGACAGGACTGGTGGTACTCCAGCATCTTCACAAAGTGCTCTTAACAGGTGAAGCAGCTTTGTCATTCTCATGACACCTCCTTCAGTATCCTCCTTCAATGATTCTGTCTTCAATGTGCTTGCTGCAGAAACTTCTTGTGACACAATCTATGGTAGCAGACTTCAATCACCACCAAGTCTGCATCGTGAATATTTTCATCATTAAGCAATTTGGCAGCTTTGAGAAGTTGCCCCCAGAATGATTTTTAGACACTGAAAACACGGGTACATACATGTACATGTATGTGTTGCTTTGAGATTATTTGCAAGATTAAGTACTTGTATATCGCCGTTATAATGAACTGTCACAAACACATTACAGATCCATCCAACAACAGACTTGAATAATATGCAATGTAGTATGTTTTTCATATTCGTAATTTGTTAGTGGCTCCCTTTTTCTGGCTGTGGGATCCATTTGTCCTTCCTACAAATGATGCACTCTACTGGCAATACATGCTTTGTCCTTCTGTACTTTATTGAGCACTTGTGCATCTTCTCTTACGGGGGATTGCCACTGCTCCCTCCCCACTAACTCCTTCGGCTAACTAACTTCGGCTAACTAACTTCGGCTAACTAACTTTGGCTAACTAACTTTGGCTAACTAACTTCGGCTGTATGGTTTTCCACCCTTGTCTTTGCTCACTTAATTGTGGATACATTGCAGAATCTGTTAATGACATTTACAATTAACCATGCACATGGGAACATCGTCATTTGTCATGGGTTTCATTTCTTGCAGGTAGTTTCTGCCCAGTGCATCCGCTACGTGCAGATCTTTACCTCTAATGTATTTTACCTTGAGGTCATATTTGTGTAGTGTTAACAGCATCTTCTGTAACCGCATTGGAGCCGTGTATGGCGTTTTTCAAATATCGCTTCCAGTGGACGATGGTCAGTTTGCACATTGATTGTGCAGCCAATAATTTACATGTAGTTGTGACATTCTTTTGAGCAGCCAAACACTTGCTGCCAATTCTTTCTCTATTTCAGCTCATCGTTTTTGGGTCTTTGTGAATAGTTTGGAAGCATGTGTCACTGGGAGTTCACTGTGCAGTAACACTGCACCTGTACCTTAACTTGAATTGTCAACACTCAGAGTTACATGTACTTCTTTATTTTACATCAAAACATTGTAGAGTCCCAGTGGGCACAAGACGTCATTATGACGTCTTAAAGACATCAAATATTGACGTCTAATTAATGTCTTTTTTGGGTTGTATATGCAAAGCCAAAAGACGTCAGCGTCCTGACAAGTAAACGACGTCAGTGGTGTGACTAGAAAAAGACGTCAGCGTTTTGACAAGTAAAAGGCATCCACATTGTGACTAGTAAAAGACGTCAGCATATCAAGCAGTAAAAGACATCAGCATTAAGACATCTTTCATCCATCAAATATCAAAGAAAAAAGAGGTCTGCATTGGACGAGTCATGGATTTTTTTCCTTCCGATAAAAAGATGTTCACATGCCTTAACACGCTGCCTGGCTGTAAAATACATTTTGACTAAAGCGACTGTTTACAACAAATCATGATTGTGTTATTTAGCTAACTCTCATTCGTCACATTATAATAACCCGTTACCACACTTTGCTGAAAACGATGATCTGCCCAAATATTATGTACCAATAATATTTCTGGTAAATTCAATGGCTTTGGACGGACCATTGCAATTGCACCCAGCACGATCAACGTGATGTTGAAACGAGGTAGACTTTGTTTACACCCCCTGGATAAAAGTAATTAAAAGGTTTCAAAATGTTACTTTTACGAACA